CGTGTGTGTGATTATGTGTGTGCGCCTGTGCGTGCGTGTGCGTGTGTTTGCGCTCTTGCGTGCGTGTGTGTGTGTTTGCGCTCTTGCGTGCGTGTGTCTGTGTGTGTGTATGTGTGCGCGCGCTCGTGTGCGTGTGTGTGTGTGTTCATGGTTAGCTGCATGTGCATGTGTGTATCCCAGGGACTGGGTCAGAAGTCACAGCCGCGACGACACAACAACACCAGGCACATGTCGTCACCCCGGGTACGAAACAACACTCCGTGTGTGCGCTCTTGTGTGTGTGCGTGCGTGCGTGTGTGTGTGTGTGTGTGTGTTCATGGTTAGCTGCATGTGCATGTGTGTATCCCAGGGACTGGGTCAGAAGTCACAGCCGCGACGACACAACAACACCAGGCACATGTCGTCACCCCGGGTACGAAACAACACTCCGTGTGTGCGCTCTTGTGTGTGTGCGCTCTTGTGTGTGTGTGTGTGTGTGCGCGCGCGCTCTTGTGTGTGCGTGTGTGTGTGTGTGTGTGTATGTGTGTGTGTGTGTGTTTGCGCTCGTGTGTGTGTGTGTGTTTGCGCTTGTGTGTGCTCACGCCACTTGTCGGCGATTTCACTAGACACGAAACCTTTCGAGTGCCCAGCGTCTGGCTGTAGCGCCCGCTTCACTCGTTTCGACTCTGCCAAGCGTCACATCTGCACGTCGCACAAAGGTGCTGACGTTGCTGACCTTCTGCAAACGTTCAAGAATAACAGCAACGAGGTTGCCATTGTGTACCCATGCCCCGAGAACACATGTACACAGACCTTCAGCAGCAGACAGGCGCTCTCCAGGCACCAACTACGCGACCACGGAAAACAGAAGGTCAGAATCTGGTGGTGATTGTACACGCTTGCAGCGTGTGTGTGTGTGTGTTTATGCGTGCGTGTGTCTGCGCTCTTTTGTGTGTGTATGTGCGTGTGTTACTCACCAGCGGCGCTCTGCCCTATATGCCAGGCGCGTGGTCATTTTCAGTGCCGGAGCGGTTGCGCAGATGCTGCGTTTTGTACCGCGAAGGAACTCATGCAGCATGTTATTACGGATCACGACGCCTCATGTGAGTATTTGATTGTGGCCTGCCTGTTGTCTCCGATCCTGTGTTTCTCATCAGCAATGTCTCTCCTGCCCGACGTCGTTCGTTGCAGGTTGTGTCGTGCGTTACTACGCCTCGTGGAGCAGGTTCGAGTCGTGCATCGCCGCGGCAGAGTGTGACGACTTTGCCCTCGTCGATTACGTCAAGCGTGACCACACCTGCTGCTTCCCACCAAAAGCTGCCGCGTGGGGCCTCGAACATGTACAGGTGGAAGAAGAATTCGTCCGGACGTGCTCTCGGCATGGCAATGAGCGACCATATCAGGGCACAATCCGCGCTCACCGTGCAAAGGCGCCAAAACCTGTTGGGTGTTGTCCAGCAATGATGTGGGGGCAGGTCTGCAAAGGCGGGCGAGTGCGGGTGGTGATGTTCAACTACCACTCACATTCGAAGGACCTGCGTCACCTACAGCTGCCAGGCGTGTTTCGTGCAGAAGTGGCACGTCTCCTTCGTGTCTCGGCGTCTTACACGGCCATTTATCATCAGGTGAAGGCGACCTTTTCCTCGCATCCACGTATCAGGTTAGATCGATGCGGTGTCTGTGTGTGTGTGAGTGCGCGCGTGAGTGGGTGAGTGAGTGAACGAGTGTGCGTGTGTGTTTTTGTGTGTGTGTGTGTGTGTGTGTTCTCTGCCTTGCGTGTGCTTGTGTGTTTTGCGCGTTGTGTGCGTCAGTGTGTGTTTTGTGTGTGTGTGTGTGTGTGTGTTCTCTGCCTTGCGTGTGCTTGTGTGTCAGTGCACGTTCTTACCGTCTTTGTCGTGCTTGCGTGACTAGCATTTTCAAGCAAGCGCATGTCTACAACGTTGCTCAGGAGTACGAGCCTGGGCGCTTTGATGCGGATGACGCCGCTTCTGTGTGGTACGCTGCACAAATCTACAACAAGGAGGCTGGCGAGCACACCCCGGTCATCACAGCCTTGAAGCTTCAAGGTCAGGAGGCGTTTGAGTTTGGCGGGCCCGAACAGCGCGCCTCAGGCGATTTCCCGCAAGAGTCACTATTCATCCTTGTGCAGACTGAGTGGCAGCGACGCGTGCTCAAGGTGTGTGGTGCTGAGTGCCGTGCTCGCGTCTTGAATCCTTGCATGCATGGTCAATGATGTGCACCGCCTTGCAACACATGGGGCACTCTGTTGTCTCGTGTCGTGTTGGCGTGTCAATACTGCAGTGTGTCGCCAGCCTTGTGCACGTGGCTAATGGTAAGCGTCTCGTCATCACTTCCCATGCATGCTTGTTCTGTGTTTCCTTAGGAGTGTGGGCATCGTGGCATTTTTCTTGACTCAACACATGGCACAAACATGTACGACCACCCGTTGATTAGCGTGGTGGTCGAAAGCGTCTATGGATGGGGAATACCTGTGGCGCACGCCATTGTGAGTCACGAGACGATCGGCGTCGTCGCACACTTTCTACGGAAAGCGGTTGCAGACCACGGTATCACTCCATCGGCCGTGATCACGGATAAGACGTTTGCCGAAGGTCGCGCCGTGGATGAGGCACTTCCCAACTCTCGCTGGCTTCTTTGCCAGTTTCACGTGAAGCAAGCTTGGTGAGAGGTCGTGTACCGCTTGCGCGACGCCGTGTGTGTGTGTGTGTGTGTATGTGTGTGTGTGTGTGTGTGTGTGTGTGGCTCCGGCTCTG